ATGTTCACACAAATCTTTACGCTATCGCGTTTGTAATCTTCTCTGATAAAAAAAAACGTCTATGATGTCCAGAATTACTCTTTACAGCTTGTCTGCCATTCCAGCTTTCCAATGAGCAAAACTTCTTAGATATAGAGATTATTTTCTTTCGTTACAGGCGCAAAAAGGCAGGTACTACACGTAAAGAAGACGCCGAGTAGCAAAAGCGAGCGGAAAACGGTCGCGAAAGGCGACGAGAAATATGTGCATTGGAGCGTATCATGAAATACAATCTTTCGCATGTAGTCTTATGGAGTGACGTCAGAGTTGCCTATCATGTTGTTTAATGTCATTGGTTGCACTTTGCATGTTCAACATTTAATTTTGGCTATTTTTAACTAATTCATCATCTTTGTGAACTATACTCAAGTGCATCTATTGGATATTCACCCAGTCCCAGGCTAATCATTTTGACTAATATTTTTATTTCCTTTTTTTTATTGGTGATTATTCCCATTTTTTTTTCGATGTGCCTAAATATGTGCCTAGCATATGTGGTGACAGAGCGTGTTTTTCCCCTTTTAGTACTAAGTTTTAAAAATCATTATTGGGTTTAACTGTTGCAATTTTTGCGTTCAACATTTAATTTAAATATTTTGAACTAATTCATTACCTTTTTAGGAGTTACTACGTCCATTTCACCTTTTTTTCCGAAGTGCCTAAATAAGTGCCTACCGGTAACAATTTATTATTTCTAAATTCCAGTACTAGACTCAAGTGCATCTATTGGATATTTGTCCAGGCTAATCAGTGTGGGTAATATATTTATTTCTCTGTCTTCTATTGGTGATAATTCCGATTTTCTTCTTTTTTCGAAGTGCCTAAATATGTGCCTAGCATATGTGGTGACCGAGCGCGTGTGACTCCTTTAATACTACGTTTTAAATATTGTTATTCGGTTCACCCATTGCAATTTGCGTGTTCAATATTTAATTTGACAATTTTCAACTAATTAATTATCATTTTAAAAATTATTACGCCCTTTTCACTTTTTTTTTCGAAGTGCCTAAAAAAGTGCCTACCGCTAACAATTTATTATTTCTAAATTCCAGTACTATACTCAAGTGCATCTATTGGATATTCACCCAGGCTAATCAGTGTGGGTAATATTTTTATTTCTCTGTCTTTTATTAGTGATAATTGCCATTTTCTTTATTTTTCGAAGTGTCTAAATATGTGCCTAGCATATGTGGTGACAGAGCGCGTGCGTCTCCCTTTAATACTACGTTTTAAAAATCGTTATTGGATTTAACTGTTGCAATTTTTGCGTTCAACATTTAATTTAAATATTTTGAACTAATTCATTACCTTTTTAGGAGTTACTACGTCCATTTCACCTTTTTTCCGAAGTGCCTAAATAAGTGCCTACGGTAACAATTTATTATTTCTAAATTCCAGTACTAGACTCAAGTGCATCTGTTGGATATTTACCCAGGCTAATCAGTGTGGGTAATATGTTTATGTCTCTGTCTTTTATTAGTGATAATTGCCATTTTCTTCATTTTTCGAAGTGTCTAAATATGTGCCTAGCATATGTGGTGACCAAGCGCGTGCGACATCCTTTAATACTACGTTTTAAATATTGTTATTGAGTTTGCCCGTTGCAATTTGCGTTTTCAACATTTAATTTGACCATTTTTAACTAATTAATTATGTTTTTAAAAGGTATTACGCCCTTTTTACTTTTTTTTTCGAAGTGCCTAAATAAGTGCCTAAAAAAGTGCCTACCGCTAACAATTTATTATTTCTAAATTCCAGTACTATACTCAAGTGCATCTATTGGATATTCACCTAGGCTAATCAGTGTGGGTAATATTTTTATTTCTCTGTCTTTTATTAGTGATAATTGCCATTTTCTTTATTTTTCGAAGTGTCTAAATATGTGCCTAGCATATGTGGTGACAGAGCGCGTGCGTCTCCCTTTAATACTACGTTTTAAAAATCGTTATTGGATTTAACTGTTGCAATTTTTGCGTTCAACATTTAATTTAAATATTTTGAACTAATTCATTACCTTTTTAGGAGTTACTACGTCCATTTCACCTTTTTTCCGAAGTGCCTAAATAAGTGCCTACCGGTAACAATTTATTATTTCTAAATTCCAGTACTAGACTCAAGTGCATCTGTTGGATATTTACCCAGGCTAATCAGTGTGGGTAATATGTTTATGTCTCTGTCTTTTATTAGTGATAATTGCCATTTTCTTTATTTTTCGAAGTGTCTAAATATGTGCCTAGCATATGTGGTGACCAAGCGCGTGCGACATCCTTTAATACTACGTTTTAAATATTGTTATTGAGTTTGCCCGTTGCAATTTGCGTTTTCAACATTTAATTCGACCTTTTTTAACTAATTAATTATGTTTTTAAAAGGTATTACGCCCTTTTTACTTTTTTTCCAAAGTGCCTAAATAAGTGCCTAAAGAAGTGCCTAATTAGCAAGTGCCTACTTTTAGTCCGTCCCGAGAATCACAGCTATCAAGATTTTCCATTCTCGAGATTATAATATTCGCTGTAGCGACTTGCATAAAATCAAAATCGATGGTCGGGCGGCGGCCACGCTTCGGCTCAGTCAAAGTGACTATAATATGTTAGGGCTCAGTTCCTAGATTTCTTATTTCTGTATTCGGGTATTTATCGGTCTATCGGCCATATTACTGTATTAAGTGAAAGGCCCCAAAACAGTGCAATACGATGCCGGCAGGCTTCTATTTTTTTTAGTATAGAGAGCCCGTTGATGTTTAGATTATGAGTCTGAGTAATGTAGTCTATAAAAATGACAAACTAGCTACCGGTACAGCGTTACGGTACGCGTACGGTACGGTACCTAGGTATCGGTAAGCAATGGCGTGGGTCACAGGATTATGAATGCAGGGAATGGGGCTGGCTTTATAATTTCAGAATTTATTAGGATAGAATTTACATCCGGTACCGGCACCGTATTTAACTTACATCCAATTCGTCGTAAATTTGGAATAGCCTATAATTATCGCCACTTGCTAATTTTCACCACACTCCTTCAAAATCGCCCTGCTGCAGTCGCACTTTCAGATAGCGCTGTATATGAGTTGTTTTCGGATTGCGACGTAATAAGTCAGTACGGCACACTATACAAATCGGGTGACATTGACCTGTTTCAGAGAAACCCATTTTACAGATGATCAGACACCCCTCCTTTGGGAGGCGTCTGGACATTGTTGTCCCTCAATATCGGTAATAATGCAGTATAATGGAGTTGCGCAAAATACTACAAAAAAGCGCAATCTAGTAGCGTCATCATTGAATTCCTAGGGAAAAAATAATCAGATTTACCGAAGGAAAAAAAATTTTACCGTAGCGTTCGAGAGTTTTTAGCAAAAAACGCCAATTTTGGTCATGTGACGGCCCAGTCTGGATTTCATGGCCTTTTCGAACGAGAAATCGGGCGTGCAATCAGAAATTCCCGCGTGCAAATAAGAATTTCTGGCGTGCAATTATAGCTCACGGCGTGCAAAACAACTGCGCCCGCTAAACTGATTTCGAACTAAGATACCTTTCAATACATCCGCGTAAAAATAAGTTGGATCATAGCAAAAATGGACGTTTGACCTTTGACCCCCAAAACATCATTTCTATATTTTGTCACTAATTTTGAGAGTGTTTGTGCGACTTTAGATACCGGTACTGTTCAGTACATCCGTGTAAAATTATTGTATTAAAAATACGCTGAATCAGAGCCATAACTGGCCAGCGTCGGTGAGGAGGCGATTTTTCTCACGGGATTCCTATCATTCAACACGATATGGTGATTTTTGCTTCGCATTTTTCGATCAGGCCAAATCTTGCAAGCAAGTATTAGTCGACAATTGTAAAGTTATAATTTTTTGGCATCTTTATATTACTAGATTATTGATTTAAAAACTATTTAAACCGATTTACATTGGTGAGCAATTGCAAATTTTCGGCGTGCAAAATTGAATTCGCTCGCGTGCATTTTTGTGGAGCGCTAGCGCCCTCGGGCGTGCATCTGCCATGGAATCCAGTCTGGGTGACGGCCACGATTAATTTAGATTAATAAAATGTAAAAATCAACTGATAGCACGCTCGGCCAACTTTTTGGGTTTATTTCTTTTTTCTTTCTATTTCGCGGTGTTTATTTCTTTTAGTTTTTGTCAGTCCAGCAGTCAGTGTTAGATCGAGGTTGAATCAAGTTTGACATGGGAAGTGTTTGTAAATATCGTGCTGCTGTTAATTCTCGCATCCACAGGGTGGCGATAATACGATAAGAAAATTATGGCTCGCCAAAAGGGGGAACCGAAAAAATCGAAGCATCAATGCTCAAATATATGAGCATGTTGTAACTTCGGATGAAATTCAGAAATTTTCAATTGTTTATATCTAGACTAAATTGCGTCATATTGTGCTTCTGGCTGTTTCTATAGTGAGTCCTTCTATATCTAAATCTGTTATCATATTCAATTGCGCAGTTTAAAATTTATTTTTTGATTAAAAAATTCATGTTTTAGCATAAAATTGACACTCCGTTTGATGTCAGGATGTAGACTAATTCCTGAATTCTCCTGTTCTTGGTTCGTTTATCTGTTTACTGGTTTATATCATTTTCTCGTCAATCAAATTATTTCTATGTTGAATAATACAATACAATTTATATCGGCATTCTGAAAACACAAAAACTCGAACACAAAACACATAACAGAAATGCCCAGAAAACAACCAAAACTCATAATTCTGTAATTGCAGAATTGGCCCCTTTTTCCAGTTTCTGTGATCTGATCACTACCCACTAAACACAGAAACATCTAACTTCTGAACTTTGGGTGGTGAATTCCCTGTTTGTGTCACTGCAATTAAGGGAGGTATAGCTAGTCTGCAGACGATTTCATTCAGACTGCTATAAAACAAAATCCAATATTTCCAACTTGTTAATTTTTTCACAGTAGGTGCATTGACATTTATTCTACACGCTAAACCTTGAATTAACCTCCTACGACCACTGGACCAGGGGTTAAAGCTATACAAACCACCAAAGTACGACACTCGGAAGACGTATTTGCGACCGAACGACCAGTGTGCAACCACGGATTTCAAGCCTTGAACATCGTTTCTGCTGCGTGGAGACTAGAGCATGCACAGCCATGCATGAAAAAATGAGGCTTCTAATGGCATTTCTGTCCGTCATATATTTTAGGAACGCGGTTATTTCGAACAAAACTCGTCAAATTATAAAAAAGCACCGCATCACAGCAATCAAACGAACAAAAACAAGGTAGTTGCAAATTGATCGACAAGGTATTATCAACGTATTGGAAATGCGCACCCCCCTATCCCCCCTCCTTTATATGTAGAAACGTGAAACTTTAAAGATGGCTAAAAGAAACACATCTCTACCCAACTGCCAAGTTTCATCTTTTTATCTCTTATATTTGTATGGATTTTCAAGCTATTTTAAAGGGACAATGGATAGATGGCGACATGAAAAAATGGTCCGTTTTTTTTCTTCGGTCGGGATTTCGGTCGTAACTTTTTTGTTTGAGGTCGCATTTCAGTGTAATTTTGCAGAGATACGAGGAATAGGTGGACGATACCGCGTGAGAAATATCGCCGCGGTTCGTAAATTTTTTCGGCATTCATTTAATTGATGATATTGATGGCCGCAAATAGGTCGTGGCCGCAAAGTGGCTGAGCCACCCTATAACTTCAGAACTTAGCTGTATACCGAAAAATGCGTGCATAAGACAGGAAAGTTGAATGCTAGATGCACTATCGCACATTCAGACATTTCGCCCTCTCGATATTCCTTTAAGCTCGTGGCTTTCCTGTATTTCAGGGCTTGGTATTTATTGTGTTGTCTGGTTGTGATTTTATGTATATGTAAAATGGACCGCTCTTGTATAATTGCTGGAAGAGATGATGGTCTTGCAAGTTCCCAATGCGAATTCAACAAAAAATGCAGAAGAATATCAATAAAAAATATGCCACTCGGAATCAACAATCAGGTATGCTTCGTGACTAACTATGATAGTTTTCTTGACATTGTGGAGCGAAGGTATAAATTGTTTTTTTGATCTTAGTTGCCCATTTCTGTGGTAAAACGTATACAGGTTGGTGTGTGTGAAGTTTAGATAGTAACTGTTCTTGTATGATAGTTTAAACATTTGTTATAATTTTACTACTACTACTTTTACATATTATGTAAAAGTAGTAGTAGTAAAATTATAGCTTGAATACCAACTTATTAACATATTTTCAATAGGTCGTAATCCCCCAATAATACTACATTACATCGACTGATTCAATTCCCCATCCCACCTGATTTAACTCAGGCCTCACATATATTACTTTCAGATTTTTCATGACTACCCTATAAATACTGTGCAGATCTTCTGCACGAATGTAGCATTGGTTTTGTTTTGTCAATTTTCATCTAATTATTCTTCTTGACTTCTTAATTTTTGTATTATAACTATATCCCATTTTACTAAATTTCTCTGGTACCAATTTGCAAGACTTGTATATTATCATTTTATTTTCAGGATATCTCGGATTTGTTGAAGCCATATCATTATCAACAAATACATATAGACAAAATGAACCTGTCTTGTGAGTTGTTTCTAATATTACTTTGTTAATTTAATTTGGAATTACTATTTCGTGGGTCAGCGATTTTTGACGGTTTGAAGCAGAGGTTTCCAAACCACGGCCTGTGGGCCAAATCCGGCCCCTGTAGCGATTTAAATGGCCAACGATTTAGAATGGCTGGTCGAGCTCGGGTGAAATTGTGTTGAACAGATTTTGTTTGCGTTCTAGTGTGTTATGCGATTATCACAGTTTAGGCATTTGTTTATTGTGTCAATTAGGCTTGCACGTAATTTAAGGATTTACGGAATTACGGAATTATTTCGAGTTACGGAAGCGAAGTTACGAATTACGTAAAGTCGTAATTATTGGTCGAGCGCTTTCGCGATTGAAACGAGCTCTCTTCAGAGCAGTCAATTCCGTCGATTGTAAAAAATTAAAGTTTAAGTAAAAGAAGTTAGAGTTCCGGTATTCGCGGCCGTTTTTCTCTCTCTTGTTAGGCAGATGGGGAAGGCATAACGCGTCATTTACTAACCTATTATCAACGTATCTAGGATGGCCAATGTACATATTAACCGTAGATAAGGAATAGACTTGTGTTGAGACCGATGGACGTCAACACACCTGGTTTCAACTTTTTCGGGTGAAATGACTAAAGAATGTAAGAGATCAACTTAAAAAACATGGTGTATTTGTAAATGCCGTGATAATTAATGTCGCGCTTATCAAACATCAATATAAAGACGGAAGAGAAATTGCGTAATGAACCAACGCAACTTAGTATTTTCGGCATCGGTAAAGCGATTGAGACGGCAGAGAAACAACAATACGACGGGATTTTCCGTGTTTATTCTGCGCGAGATCCATTTTCTATTACAAAATCTTGATGTTCTGTTACCGATTTGGCATTGCTCAATATGTTTTTCACAATGCCTCGCAATATGTCGGCCAAACATGATTACCTGTCTTTACCAAATGCAGCAACTTATTGCCGATTTATTGTCGACTCGAATACCACCAGCACTCGACCAAACTTGTGTCAATCTTGGCAAATAGGATTGTCGACTTGAGTTAAAAAAATAAATTAATATTTTCAATAATAATGTGCAAAATAAATGTCACAAAATGCATTGTTTTGCGATATAACTTTGTATTTTCGGAGAATATAAGTACGGTATTTTAAATAATGCGCAAATAATTAATATTTGATCTAAATCTATCACAAATAATGTTATAACTTTTAGGCCGCTAAATGATTTAATGTAAAATGAAGCATAGAATTCGGAATATCGTCAATAAGTTGGCATCAATAATTATTATAAAATGCTAACTAAGTAGTAAAGTCGGATATTGTAAAAAACGGTGAAATAACAAGTCTTCGTCACGAGGCAAGCGAATGTATAATCAATCGAGAGAATACGCTTGTAGTTGATTAATAAATTAGCAACCCTGAATTTTTATTTAATACGAAAGTCGTATTAATACATTAATACGATTTTAAAAAAGTGAACTATCGTTTCTTAAATATATTACCAGTGTTGGTAATGATAGAATTGATCGCATAAAATTTGGTGATAAAGTGGATAAAAAAAAATCAAAGTTAATACAAAAGATAAAAATCAGAATAAAATTATTTTGAATTCACTCCTTGATATTTGTCTTTAACATCTGTCGCCGGCGTGTAGTACTGCCGGGAATATGAAAACCAAACTTCGATGTCCCATTTGGAATAGAAGTGGACTAAATTGGTTGTTATGATAGGTTTAAATGTGTGAAAAAAATATCGCAATTACGGGGTCATTACGTAATCGATTTGGCCGTAATTACGGAATTGATTTTTGTCAATTACGTGCAAGCCTAGTATCAATTAAATTAAAGCCGTCCCTTATTTATACGCACCAGTATTAAGATTACATAGGGCAATAGTTTAGTTATCAACCATGTAAGAAAGCTTGGAGATACCAAAACACAAACAAAAACTAGACATTTTTTGGCAACAGTGGTGAATCTACTGAACCCCAGCAGTTGCGTAGCCAGGGGGTGGTTTTGCGGGTCGAACCCTAGTTTGAGAATCACTGACTTAGACTGCTGTTTGGTTCTTTTTCATTCAAATCAAACCTACTCTCTGCATTGTGCTCAACCTCATCTGGATCGCTATGGTTAACAGGATTTTCTAATTCAAATCTTCCATGAGATGCTATGTTCTTCTCATTTGAAACTTCAGGTCTTAAATCTTTATGGTCAGTATCGGTTTCTTGAAATGTAAAAAAAATAAAAATCATTTTTCTGTACTATGGATAGCAATTTTTCGTAGCTCAAAATGCTTTTTAGACCCACAAGACTAATAAAAACATATGTATTCTAGCGTTCGATTGGACCCGCTAGCTGTTTCGATCTAACTTGGCGAATAAAAATTTCAGACCCCCCCCCCCCCCCCCCTTTAAAAATTTCTGGCTACGCCGCTAAACCGTCACGCACTTTCTGGCGCTACACTAATCCGGCCCGCGAACATCCCTCCGATTCTAATTTTGGCTAGCGGCCAATAAAGTCTGGGAACCCCTGGTTCAAAGGTTTTAGATTTTGAATGATAAAATTATATTGAATCAACTCATTTAGGTGTCATTTATTTAAAATCAAAAATTAGCAGTTTTCCATGTTGTGGTGTATCCTATTAGTGTATATAGGTGTGGAAGGAAAATAAGATTCATTTGCCATGGAAATATGTGTGACATGGACTCACTATAACAGATTGCAGTAAAAATTGTTAAGTTTATATTTTGTGTTCCTTATCTTAATAATAGGTCGTCACTTTTTTTAATTAAGGTAAAGCTGTTTTGTTGGATGGTGAATCTGCATGTCGCTGTATGGAAGACCTTCATTTGAAATCATTTCGTGGTTCGCAGTTGATTGTTTCATTGGCGTCCTGTGACTTCATGCTATGTGTAACACAACTTCCTGCACTCTACACCAGAGAACAGTTTCTTACCCTCATCACACCGTTTGGGACACCAGAAAGATGTTTTCTCGTTCATAGGTTACTTTTAGTAAATTTTTTGTTAATTATTATATTTGTACAGTTTCCCAATATTGAATATAATAAAAGTTAAAAGCAATTTTAAATCAATTTACCTATCCCGTTTTGAATTTCCATAGTACTGCCATATTATAGTTGCTGTAATATACTCCTCTATTGGGCCGGATGAGAAATTATATGCTGTAAGGAACCAGTTATGGCTAATCAGATTAATTATTTTTTTGTTTAAAGTCAACTTGAATGTGCGACTCTCATTTTATATCTAATCCAGCTATATCTAATCTATATCCAAAATTTTGTTTGTCTGTTTTAGTGAAGTAAATGGCCTGAGCAAAGGATATGGATGTGTTGAGTTCACAAGTAAAGAGTCATCAATTAAAGCAAAAAATCATCTTAATGGAAAATCTATTGGCCAACAAACTTTACAAGTATGAATTATTCTACTTTTGATCTGTGTGTGACATAATCTTTACTATTTTTATTGCATAGATATTGTTAAATCATTTACTTTAATTTCTTGTTAGTCATGTGTTGAGATGGCCAATACCGAATAGTTCGAATACATTCGAATACCGAAAAATAATCTAACACAAACATTATGATGGGTGGAAGACTCTTTCAAAAATTTTCTTGAAATGGCCTTAGGACCTGATATCTGGAAACATAATGAACTTAAATTTTCAGAAATTAGAGAATGTATCGCTATCAAATCAATAAGTGATATCATTTTAAATCAAGTGCTCTAAATAGAAAGTTACATTTTATGTTTTGAGTAGAGGGAAGGTGTTCCCCAAATGAGAGCTGAGCAATAATTTCTGTCAAATGACTCACTGTAAGTCAGTGCCTACTTTGACAATAAAACTTTGAATTTGAAATGTTTGCTTGTAATGTAAAGAATGTCATGCAAGATTTGGTTGATACGTTGTCGTTATTAATGAAATATGACATCACTAGATGAGCATTTATCAGTAGAAAAACCAATATTGCTCTAAATTGTCAGTAGTCACAAGATTGTGATATTTACACATCTTAGAAAGCAAAGGATTCAGTACTCACATGATTGTGATAACAGTGGCAAATTTCAAATAAGTTTCTGCTACTTGCAGTCTAGGAATATTTCCAAAGTGTCATTCCTATCTGTTTCTGGCTAAAATTATACTTTTATAAAATTTATCAGCAAAAAAGTTAGAGAAGTTCGGATGGGCGACTTGCAATACCATTAATAATTCAACATTGGGCCTTAGGCCCCGTCTCCACTTTGCCTATCATTCTCTGCTGTAAGGGGATTGTATTCAAATTTTAATCTGACTCCATCAGTTTCTTCGTCTGAGAATGAAAAAACATTAATCTTAGTGAGTTCACTATCACTTTCTGTGCTGCATTCTAAGAAAGCACTTTGCATATCCACTAACTTTCATCTCTTTTTCATGTTCTAAATCAGGGGTCGGCAACCTTTTGGCACTCGCGGGCCAAAATTGAAGGCTGCAATTACTGGCGGGCCGGACATATTTTGGCGATGACGCACCACCTGAACTCAGAGCTGATACACATACTATGTTGAAGGTTGTGCGCCACGTTTGTACACATACTTCAGGAGCAGCCATATTTTTTTAAGAAAGTTATAAACCGAATGGGTTGTTTATTAATCACATTTTTACACAGATCAGAAATTGAAATTTTAGATTGTAAATAGCGAGCTCTGTGACGACTCGTGAACTCAAGTCGCCGTACAGGCAAACAAATTAGAAAGGATATTTAATGTGACACTTGTTGTTGCATTACGCTTGATAGCTTTTCGACGTCAGGTGACACACTGGATGAAGCCAATATCAGAACATTTTCTAAATGGGCATCACTAATACTAGTTCTCCGCCTGTTCTTTGTAATGTTCATTTTTGAAAATAATTGTTCGCACGCATATGTGCTTCCAAACATCGATGTGAATTTTTTCGCATGGTTTATCAAATTCGGATAGATATTTCCCTCGAGAAGATACTTTTTATAAAAATCAACCAGTGACACATCTCTCGAATAAAAAATGGATTTAATTTCCTCATTGCATTGCATCTCAAGAAGCTCCATTTGAATATTTTCTGCAACTGTTTCTACGTTGACATCAAACGGAGTACTAAACAGCCTGAATTCGTTTTCAAGAGAACGAAAGTCAGCAAAGCGGGAGGAAAAATCGCTTCGTAACTCCCGTATTACAGAAACAAACTCAAAGTTGCTTGTGGGGTTTCTTTCTTTAAGTGTGTTAAAGTGAGCGTAATTTGCTTTTTCCAGTTGGCTCTCCCAGAGGCATAACTTCCTTTCGAATGCGAGTATATGTCTCCACATCTGATGTACGAGCTGATTTTTCCCCTGGAGCTGCAAATTCAGTTTGTTTAGATGGGACGTTAAATCAACTAGAAATGCCAGTTCAGAGAGCCATTTTGGATCGCGAAATTCAGGAAAATTCTTATTTTTGCTTTCAAGGAATGACGCTATTTCATTCCTCAGTATATACACTCTCTCTAGCATTGTACCCCGACTAAGCCAGCGAACGTCGCAGAAGTAAAGTAAATCGCCGTATTCGTTTTCTGCATCTGAAAGCAACTGACGAAACTGGCGATGGTTCAAGCCTTGAGATAACACAATGTTGACAGCTTTCACTACTGTATCCATAACACCCTTCAAACTCAAAGCTTTGGCGCACAGGGCTTCTTGGTGAATCAGACAGTGTATTTTGACGATGTCGTTGTCAATTCCGAGGTCACTTATGTGTTTTTGAAGTAGAGCTGAGACGCCTCGATTCTTACCTGTCATTGCCGGGGCTCCATCGGTGGTTATTGATACCATCTTTGATAGATCAAGGTCCATGTCTCCAATGCATAGCAGCAATGCGCTCAGAATGTCAGCACCTGTTGTAGTTCCCTTCATGGGAACTAGTTGGACAAACTCCTCAACAACGTCAAAAGCTTCACTTACTCCACGCACGAAAACTGAAAGCTGAGCGGTGTCTGCCGCATCTGTACTCTCGTCAATTGCAATTGAGAAGAATTGTAAGTTATTGATGATATCCCTTTGACGACGCTTCACATCCCTTGACATTTCTTCTATTCGCCGAGTCACGGTTCTAGCAGAAAGGCTGATATTTGAGAATAACTTTTCCTTATCAGGACATACAATACCAACGACGGTCATCAAGCATTCTTTCACAAATTCACCATCTACAAAGGGCTTCATGTGTTCTGCAATTAATTTAGCCACCTCGTAACTAGCAACAATATTTTGTTCGGTTTCGTTGTGTTGTTTGTGGAAGAAAGAACTTTGCTTTTCTAAACTGTCTTTTAACTGTTTAATCTTGTCCTTCCTCCTTTGGCTATCTAGTTCTGAAAATTTGGGATGCTTTGTCACATAGTGGCGTCTAATGTTACATTCCTTATTGACAGCTATAGATGCGTAGCAAATCAAGCAGGTAGGTTTGCCCAAGTGTTCTACAAAGAAATACTTTGTCGTCCACGTGCTATTGAACCCTCTTCCCTCAGCATCAACTTTCCTGCGCTTTGTTGCCATTCGCCTAATTATATTGCTGGCTCAATAAACCTGTTCACTAAATTACTAGGTTATATTAAAATTTAGTCCACTTCACAATAAATTCTGTTACATAAACAAAACAGCTATGCTCAAATATCCTCTTCTAAGCGAGATATTTTATCACCAATTCCCCGAGAATCATATGAGGCAACTTACCGGTATCGGGATATTGTCACAGCTTTTCCAGGTCCTGTGACAATGATCTATTCTTCATGATTCAGTTTTAATGTGAATTGAAATACCAAGTGATCTGAGTCACCTCTATATTTCCAGATCAAGTACCACAGCCTACCATTACCCATAAAATCATTTCCATAAATCATCTGCGTTAACTTACCAGTCCGGTTACGGTACAAGGACTGTCATGCTTTTCCAGGCCCCGTGGCGATTACACATTCATTTTATTAAATTTTAACATGAATTTGAAATGCGAACTGATCCGAGTCATTTCTGTATCACCAGTTCAGGCCCCACAGTCTAACGTCCCCCCATAAAAACTTTCGCCCACCTTCGCTAATCACGAGATACACCGACGTTCGCTGAGCACGAAATCGGCAGATAACGAGATACACCGACGTTCGCTGAGCACGAAATCGGCAGATACGCGTTCGCGGAAACGCCACAAGGCGGCAAATTTTGGAGACGAGTCGTAGCACACAAAAAACGAATCCCATAGAGCTCACAGAAATAATTGAAACGAATAAAATACTGGTACCGTTTAATTAATGAAAACCACATAATAACAAAACGATCCATAGCTCCGTGTCTAATAATCTGCTCCTCAAGGGTAGATTATTAAATTAAATAGTGAAAATTCACCTTTTTGCAAAATTCACAAATTCGTCGTTTTGTCTCTAAATTTTGGTGAAGCGTCGCGGGCCTGATTGCGTTACTCCGCGGGCCGGATCCGGGCCGTAGGTTGCCGACCCCTGTTCTAAATCCTTACTGTTAGTGTTTTTTGGGTGCTACCTAGACTGCTGTTTGGTTCTTCTTCATTCAAACCAAGCCTACTCTCTGCATTGTGCTCAACCTCATCTGGATCCTTATGGTTGACAGGATTTGATATGTTCTTCTCATCTAAAACTCCAGATTTTAAATCTTCATGGTCAATTTCACACACTGTATTATCATAAAAAAACATTTTACTCTAGCTTTGTTTAAAAACCTAAAGTATCAACTCGGACACCACATTCAACTACAAATTATGATACAGTATGTAGCATCTTTCAACTTTTGAATTTGAAATATCCTTTGTATGGCTTAATAAACTCAATTCAAATATATTTATTGTGTCAATCTGTAACAAAATATGGTAATGAGTGTTTAATCGAAAAAACTGATTTTCCCTTCTAATATTAATAAGATTCCACATCAATACCTATACCAGATTATTTTTATGGGGCCTTCCGGAAGGCCATACATTTTTTCTATTAATGTCCAAATTTTCTATATCATTAAGCAGTCTGTATTCAGTAGGCCTATTGTATTTTGTTTCTCAATAAATCAAGTAACCATCATGAAATCATGTTCCGTTTAAAAAAAGTGCATGCAATTACAAAGAATACATTTTTTGACACCCGAACAACAAAAATTAATCGCATTTTCTGGTCGATGAACTAGTTAACTTTTCTATTATTGGAGATGATATGACGACAAGGTTATGGCTATGTTATGTGGTAATCCCCTGGCTTGCAACTACAACTGTTATTGTTTTCATCTAGAGCCCTGTACTCTTCAATTTGGCCAAAATAGTTGAATAGTGTAAAAAAAACATAGGACCTTCCGGAAGGGCCGTGCCCATACTTGCGATTTTTGAAAAATATATAAAATTCGTAGGTAACAAAAAGTTCTCCTTTTTTTTTATTTGAGCAGACCAACAAAAACTATGTTTGTGCAGTAGTTGTTCAGTGTGCGTAAATTACATTTAATGAACTATTCAAAGCTGAAAAGTTTTTCTACCATTTGTACTGTGAAAATTTATTACAAAAATGACCTAAAACAGGACCTTCACCTTTTTCAAGTCGAATTGTCATCAATGTTATATTTGTAGTTTTATTTATGATTTCTTTCATTTATGTCAGGTTCACTGGCTTGACACCATCCCTCAAACATACTCTGGTCTACATTCATCATGTTTACTGGTAGAAAATTTACCAAATTCTTTAAAAGAATCGAACAAGTTAAGGGAGTTGTTTTCTCATGAAAACATTAGGCCCAAATTTTGTCAGGTAAGCAAGTCATTATTTATGATTTGAGCAATATTTTTTGCTATTTTGATTGAAATTAATAATAACAATGCAATAATGAATCACAGATGGCCTGCATTATCGATATATCTTGTATAGCTGAATATAATCAAATTTTTCAACATTAATGTGCTTGTTGGATTTTTATGCCTACGGTAAATAATTTGTTGTGCCGATTCATCTCCCAGCCATATTGTTGTTATATAAATAAATCGTACAATGAATCACATATCACCTCTTGATTTTCAGACATCAAACTGTTCCGAGAGAGATTTTCTGATAGTAGAATATCTCACACCTGCGCATGCGGAAGTCTTGTGGATGAAAATGAACAATCATAAAATAGGTTCATTTATTTGTTTTGCTTGGAACCTGGCTCATAAGAAAATATTACCAGTAGGCCTATGTTGCCTTTACCAAAAAATTGGCTTTGATTGGCTCTGGGGTGATATGTCACCCTCTCATACTATGTTTTTTTTTACTTGGACTTCTTAGATGTTATAACAATGCTCTGTGGCTCATTAAAACAATCAACCTTGTCATACGTATGTGAAGAGTATGTGCTTTGCTAAACACATTAATTCTAAATTTAAAGTCTAGTGATTACTACGGTAATAGGCGTTTTTGAATTTTGCTGACATATATCATACTAACTAACAAGGCAATTTATTCACTGTATTGCTTAGTTTGAGCTAAAAACTAGATTTGCAAAAATTCTTCTGATTTATTAAGTGTCGAGCTAAAATCTATTGCATACATTCTTTACTGAGGTGACACTTTGTAGATTTCATATTTTAAAAGGACAAACTAATGTTTTCTTATTCTCTTGTTTGATACTCTGTTCTGTCTCTGAAAAAAATGCAGACTTATACAGAAACGCTACTTATAAATCATTATTTTTATGAATGTAACACAGGTTCAAGCATACTTTGTGTGTCATTCTGCGTTCCTGGACCTTGTGGACTTGTTGTACTAAATTCATTGAAGGCTTCCAGAGATTTAAAAAGAAACAATCCATCTGGAGGTCTGCTGCCTACTCCTGTGCAAAAACTTGATGTTTCGTCACATCAACACAAAGCAGCAAGTATGAATAACATTTTATCATGCCGAATTCAAACTTTTTACTTGAACATGTTGCATGTGCATTCAAAACAACAGTCACTGTAAAGTTTTTTATCTTTGTACATCGTACGTACACAATTTCTCTCCACTTTCCGATATTCTCTCATTCATTGGTCTATATCAGAGATGGGTCAAAAATTATACTTTTATTGAAAAAAGAAGACCGTACGTAGGTAGGGGTGGGCAAAATCGAATATTTTTTTCAAATCGTACAATTCGAATATTTTTAACGAATACCATATAGTCGAATAACGAATATTTTTTTCGTCGACTGATACTCTCTTTTGAAATACATTGAAAAATCGTCAACAAAGCGTTTTTGACTGGTTATTTTCGCCCTAATCGCTCGCTGATTGTTTTGTCACCACAATCGTTTTGACGGCAATATCCTGAAGTTGGTAATGTAAATTCCCGTCCATTCTCTTTTTTTTGCAAGAATTTATTTGGGTTGGCGGACGTCGAGGTTTTATATTTTGGGCATACCCATGCGTTCACGTCGGCGACATTTGATATAGGAATTATTAAGAATTGATATCGAAACCCAAATTAATTCGCTCCAGTAATCGAAACGATACGATGGGCGCAAAAAGAATGCAAATCACACCACAGCGCAAAAATAAAGATTTCTTAAATTTGTCGCTTTTGTCTGTTAGCGAGTGCTGTAGGTGAATTATTGCGCGATTCACGATCGATTTCGAGAAGCGCGAGTTTCATGTCCGAGCAAAGTGGCACAGGTCACGTGGTACCGGATATTCGAATCGTAAAATGCTAGAATAAATAATATTTTATTCGCTATTCGTTATTCGAATATTTTGCCCAGCCCTAACCGTAGATCATAGATATTTGATTAAAGTTTGCATCAATGAGAATCCTGCTGTTTCATCTTTTCCACAGGTCTTATAATCAATCCTTGGTTGGTATCATGTAGTTTCGGATTTGCATGCATACTGAAAAACAATTATAATGCTACAGTAAATTTTTTTATTTCACCTCGAGATAAATATATTTTTAATTGGCTTTCAACCGCAGTCATTAAATCACCAGTCCAAGGTTTCTCAAACTGTGTGCTGAGGAGCTTTTTGGAATTTATGAAAAAAAGTTATTTGCATTACGCATAGGCAATGGGAGTTTGAGAGACACTGCACTAGTCACTACTGTTCTGTACCATTGTTATTTCCGATTTCTGTGGTCATTACAATTTTAGTCGATAAAATTTTGTTTTCCAAACAGTATTTTAGGCATTAATAAATAAACTGCAAAATAACATCTAGTTCTCGTATACCCTCAAAGCTTTCGGTCCAAAAACCCCTATTACAAGGCAAATTATAAGAAATAAGCTATTTATTGTGATTTGTATTTTTATATCATAAATCATTACACGAAGTGTTCAATTGTATGATACAGTTATTTCATTTCATATAGCCTAGATACACTGGACTTAAGTTAAAAAAGTTGAAGTGTTTGCAGTGCTGTCGTACATGTCTTCACCTATTAAACGATACACTACCAGAATAAAGCAACCCATAAAGCAACTGATTGGATAATAATTATACAAAACATGGAGCTGGCAATGTAAAAATATATTGCATCCAACAACATGCAAAATTTCTGGAATTGTCTCTGGAAGAGTCACTTGGAATAGCCCTAATTTGAGTTTTGGTGGGTCACTAAGATGGGTCACTTTTTAAGCCAGCGGGTCGAGGTAGTTCGCCATCCCTGATCTATATGATGTGTATATGTTTGAAATTCTTCAAATTCTAGTCAGTTCCAGAGTCACCCCATATCCACCTCAAAGGAAGGCTTTCTATTATGAACCTAGTAGCTTCCTATTGAATTGCTGACCTCCATCTTTTTTTAAAGCACAAGTATACAATATGTGATGAAAAATCAAAATTGGAATAACTTGTATGACTTTCATGAGGCTAATTTCCTAAAATCACTGCTTTTTTTTTTGTCAGCGTGAAATTGTCATTCAGTCACTTCTTTATATTTGTATTTATCTCCTTCAAACATATGTATGCCTTATGCCATGAGGACGTCAATAATTAGTTTTTGATGTCGCAAGAAACCCTGTATCCAATTGGAAAAACGCATTAGCCAAGGCAGCAGTAAATTAGCAAAATTTCATGTGCTTATGGCACACATTATGCTGGAAATTCGTAATGCAACAAAAATACGAATGAATATATTCGTGCAGTAGGCCTATACCGTACATTTTTATGTCTGCATATTGCTGTGGTGGTGGAGTAGTGAATGCCTATTTTTGAACCCTATATTTTAAAGTGCGGCTGCACCCCTGCCATGTTTCATCTGTTTTTATATAACTTTATTTGTCTTAAAATAGGTATATTGTTTGTTTTTATGTTTCAGTCAATACAAAAGTCCCTACAACGCTTCAGTCAGCATTAAATGGGAATTTAGTTCACGCTGCTGCAAATCACAATGATCCAGAGGTGAGATTCATGTTGACAGTTAACGCTGATAATATCTTAATTATGGTATGTAGGCATAGTCTATGCTTAATAATGGCAAGCAATAGGTAAATTGTGAACAGCAAAAGAGATGGATGCATATTCTTGATTTTGAAACAAATTTAATAATCCTGGTACTGGAAAGCAGTTATGTGTTGATATTTATGTTTCTGTTCAGCACACTAATAATTCGCTATTAAGAATTGCAACTTAGAAAGCAGAGAAAGAAGGGTTACGTTGGCTATGAGAAAAGGTTTTACAAACCACCTGGAATTCAGTGTGTATGAATACCTTCTTCACTATCTTCACTACTTCACTATCGTTATATCATTCGTTTTGTTGAAATTACATACAATAATATCTACATTCATTTTATTACAAAAATTTCATTTTGTTCTCTCTCACTGTATGTCGCGACTATTTTCTGAAGGAAACTGATTTGTGCTATACCGCCATAGTGCCATTCTTCATATTAGTATTATATAGCCATGTGCTGTGGAAATCTGGGATTTTGAGAATGCCAATATTCATTATGGGGCTTCTTACATTCACGAGAGTGCTATTGTATTTTATTCATTTCCTGTTTAAAATAGACGTGGCTAAATAGCAACATCTGACAAAGGGCTAAACGAGCAAGACCCAAATCAGGGGAGCTTGGCTCTCAGCCATCCGCAATTTTTAAATCTTCAAAGCAAGGGTGTCTGACTGCCCTAGCACTGTTTTAATTCCAGTGTACTCTAGTCCAGGGTTTCCCAAACTGGGGTCCGCAGCGATATTAGGAGTCTGAAATATATATATTTCACTGTCACATAGACGTTTGTAAACAAAATAGAGACGATCCTTGCTTTTAGCGTCTGTGAGGAAGATCTCCGTCACAGAGTTACACAGAGCGTTATTGAGTTATCACCAGTCTAAAACTTGTGCGACTTTGCCAAGGTCATTTGAGCCCCGTTGCGGCAAGAAAGAAGCGTGAAACCAAGTTAATTGTGTGAGCAAATTCAAGAATACACAATTAAATTAGTTCCCTGTGTTGAATTAGTACTGACAGTCCGGGCATCAAGGTACAAATAGATCATAATTTTATCGCATTGCCCTAATAAACCTACTAATATTTAACGTTAGTATGTATGAATTCAGACTTTCATGAGTTTTATTTCGGCCAAGCATAATTATGTAAAACTGTAATCGTTGTCATAGAGTCGGGCACATGATTTTTCTTGTCACAAATTGATTCTTCACATTAATGTCATTTGTGTTGTTGTGTTCTAAATCCAGATGAAACATTATCCATCCTCGTTGGTTAGGCACATAAATTGATACGCATTGGATGGGGGTCCGTAAAAAATAGGATTCACAAACAGGGGTCCGCAGCCGAAAAAGTTTGGGAAACACTGCTCTAGTCACCTAGTTGGCTCATTGCAACAGAGTGGCCGATTACATCGTGTTTCAGATATTGGCAGCCTGACCAACATATGTGGAGGACAGTGTGTTAACTATGAGTAAGCAGTTCCTAAATTTTTTTTGTGCGGCGTCAAATTATCACGGGAAAAAACTCACGGCCCACTCACATGAAAAAAATGCTGCTTTCAATAAGTAATTGTGATTGTTAGTTGATGTGTTTTTCCCTATATGCCTTTTACAGTTCGTAAACGGGAAGGCCTTAGGAATAAAGGAAAAATGTTAACTGTTCTTCTTCACCCCGGCCTGATTTTCCTTTGAATTGCTAAAAAAATCACTCATGTGCGCTAAACTCTGCTCAGCAGATAAATAAACTACAGCTCATAAAATTGCAGAAAGTAGAGTCTATCTCCATTGTTACATAGAAATAGAGGCAGACACTACGTAACAAAGTTAACAACCTAGGAAGGTAAAATGAATTTATCGATTTATATACACATTTAAAATAAGAAAGTAGCCTAAAGAAACAATAAAACTTTTATAATAAATACAATATTTAAGCATATTTTAGTTATGTTTAACATAATTCTGTTACTTGTCATGGCGCACGCAAAGAAAAAAAAATCCGAACAGGGCTTTCATTTTACTTCCTCTTTTGGGAAGTTGTTTGAGTATACGGACAGTTTCGATTTTGAAGTAAATGAAAACCCAATGCAACCCAAGTAAATGAATAATGACATACAGAAACAAGTAAACAATATATGAAATTTATTTTAAAAAAGTATTAAGAAAGTTAAAATTATTATTAAGAAAGTATTATTTAAAAAAGTTATTGAAAGCAGACAATATTATCATAAAATTCCGGAAAAAAAAACAATGTTGGCTACTGAGATAATGAATTAAACACTTCAAGTTATTTGTATTGAGGAAAAATTCTGTATCACAGAATTACATAATTATACGAGGGGTCCGAAAGCCCAGTCATAATGAGTGGAATTTTAATTTAATCAATCAACTTTAGCGAATTGTTGTTCTGCAAACAGACAAGGTGCAAAATATTTTTTGTACAGTGATATATATGCTCACGAATATTCTCGATATTAATATCATACCATCGCATATCAGATGCAAAGAGAAATAGTTGCATGTGATTTTTGCAACATAGAAGTCAGTGTGCACTTTCCAGTATTCATAATTGCTTAAAATTATTGGTTATAGGTATGTATTCAAGTTGAAGATGAATGTATATTTTCACACTTCTCTCTTTTTTATTATTGAAATAGAGTTTTTGGGTGTGGCTCGAGTTACTGCTACAAACTTTAAATTGGTCTAATTTGAGTCTCTGTCTCAATAAGATTTGTTTTTTTGAAAATACATCACTCTGTGTCTGTGTGTACTGTGTATGATATCTAAATTAAGATAGCCTATTCAAAAAGAATGTTTGGAAACATTTTTTGTTTATTTGCTCTTATTTTGTTGATTAGGTGCAAAGACTACTTAAAGCGTTGCATGTTCGGCTCCTCAATGCTCCTAACCCAGTTTGTCTTCAACAGACAACAATGATTCGAAATTGTGCTGTTACAAATGATGCCACTATGCAACCTGGAATGGTTTCCAGGCAAATAGTTCAACCTCCACAACCTTTTCATGGCGAACCACAACCTCAGTTTAATCAAGGTAAAATTTAATATGCTGCATTTTATAGCTTATTTTCCACATATATTTATCCAAAATGACGGAAGCTTGGTATAGAAGAAAACTGGATATACTATTTGTCTGTACTACACAACAGACAGTCAAATGTTAATGTGACATGCCAAGTAGGGCTGGGCATGTCAAATTGAATGCTTAGTTATTCAAAACTGATCAGTTAGTTTTTCAGATTGTCGCCATCTTGTTTTTGTCAGTGATTTACCATCATTATTCTTGTTTTTCTACACTTGCCCGACAAAAATTTTTAAATTTTACATATTCATTTTCAGACTTTGGTCCTATGTTTCCCATAAATTATAAGCATTGAGTTAGTTTCGGTCATTCATGATACATTCTTGCATAAACTTGCATAAAAAAGTTGTGTTAGATGTATTGGTCAAGTAATTACAATTTTCTTCAACGAAAGGGTTTCGTTCGATTTTGAAATGTACTAAGGATGCCTGGCCCTGATGACAAGTTATAAGCATTATACTCAATATTGAGACTGCTAGCAGCTACATGTGGTCATGCGATGTAGTATTGTTTTTCTTATCAATGCTGGTACAACACATATTTCTGTAAATAATAACCAATTCATTAGATAACAGTTTTAAACATATTATAAAACATAATAATAAACACCTCACTTTCTGGGATGCAGCTTGTATTTCATCATTGCTGGAATCGTGCTACTGCTTAATTGTTATAGTACCTGCAGGATAAAACTTATCCAGAAGATTCATTGTTATGCATGTAATATTTCAGTAGGTATCAAAGCGCTTTTAAGTTAATATTGCTCAAAATAAATCATCAAATAGATTATTTTAATAGCAAATACTGTCAAATATTAAGGATTGTTGTCTTGGTGATTTACTCAGTGACCTGTATTTAATATTACTATATTGTTTAGGCTTCGAAGGAACAGCATGTCAAATTCCACCTTCTGGTCATCTGATGCCATTGCAAGGTCGTGGTCGAAGTGCTTCATATGATTCAGGAGTACAAGCAGCGACTGATGATGAAGTTTTTAGTTCTGGTAGTTCAAGTCAAGAGGTATGATGCTGTCAGCAATGAAAATCTTCCCTTATATTCATTGGTCTTAAAGTTGTTTGAAAAGATAAAATATTGAATACAAGATATGGGACTTTGATTGCCTACACTAATCGGGATGTAAATACTCTGACTGTCACTTTTTAATTTCTTTTTTCTCTCTTCTGAATGACTAGTTACTGCTTCATATTACCCAAAGGCTACTTGCTCATTGTCTTGTTTGGATGTAGCATCCAACAACAGTTTATGAAACTTTCAATTTCGTTTGTTTTCATATATCAGGATGTAGGACAGTTTTCAGATAATGTGGAACAGCATCCGAACAATTCAGCTAACAACATTCCATATTTTTTCAATGGTAAATGGATCAAACCTGACAACCGATTTAGGCCTGACCATCCTTCAGCATTTTGTCACCGGTTAGTAATTGTATTCTTTGTCTTATTCAAATATGTTACAAATATAAATATTGATAGAATTATCCGATTGAACTTGCATGCGGAGGTTGGTCCAAGGATTTAATTTATGAATAAGCCTACTAATAATAATACTTGCATTTGTTACATTACATAAAAATTACATTTTATGACGACTTGAATATATTGAATGAAATGAAACATTGTCTGAACATAGTCTGAAGGTAGTAGTGTAGTGAAAGAGGAAATCAACACTCAGATTTTACATTGCAAATGTTAAAAACTGCTCAAATACCAATCCCCCCGCATGCAAATAAGGTTGTGTTTCGGGCGCTAGGTATTTATGTTCCTGGCATCCATGACTTGTGTTGCAGAAATATAGGTGTCAAAATTCCCCTGAAATTCGACCTGATTGATAACATAAAGCCTTCACAATTTTTAGCTAGCCGGGGTTCATTTGTGTTTTCTTTTGCAATGAGCCCAGATGCATGCGAACGTTTTACTATAGAAACATTTCCTCGTAGTTTAGCTGTAATTTTAGTCTGCAATATGTTCATTTCTAGATCTGGCAAAGTCGATATGAATCAACCAATCATTCCATACCATCAGCCTCCTGGTATTATTACATGTCAGAGAGAAGAGTTACAGGTGACAAGTTTGATTCTTTGTACTCAGGGGTGGACACTTTCCATAATTTTTGGGGGGGGGCAAACTTGGATCGCCTACCGAAAAACACCGCACCGTGTATCGTCACGTAACAATAACCTGTCATGTAATTCTCTAGTATTATAATGTCATTTTGCTACTCATTATTGTTTCAATTCCTAGTTCTGCATAAAGCGCACTAACACCGTTTCGTAAAATAAGAAATGCAAAACAAGGTAACAAACTATTGTGCAAACTTTTTCCTATATTTTACCAAGAAATTATCATTTGACTAGTAGAATTGCCATTATCGCTGATTAAATAAATCATCATTTGAGCTCGAAATACCATTCAGGATTCACGCAATGACTTTGCAGGGTTTTTATTTATAATTTAATACGAAAATAAACAGGCACAAGTTCAGCGCAGCCAGGATTTTCAAAAAAAAAGGTGTGGGGTGGGTGGGTGTCAAAGTCGGAAATTCCCATTGCCGCCTGTAAAATTAACGAAAGTGCATTAATATTTTTAATTTACATCTGGCTCTCGCTTTATTGCCTAATAATTGTTCCAATGACTGTATCTTAAACATAAAAAAATTTAGATTTGTGTTCATACTTTTTACTCAGTTGGAAACCATACCGTGTCACTGAAGTTAAAAAAGTCAATTATTCATTCTTGAATTACTGCTTATACATACCCGACATCTTAACAAAGCCAGTCAACTTCCTATCGCACTAAAATAAATTGTACTCTTATTGACTTGAGATTTTCCTAACTAACATCTTTAAAATGATCTTCGCATATCTTAAAAATATGAATCAAATAATCTAATTATAATCAGGCAGTTTACCTCTCAGATTACGCTACGACGAGTTACGTTAAACACAATCAAATTAATATGATAAGACATTTCATATGCACATAATCGCCATTGAATGAATATTTTATGCAACAGGAAAATCATTATCCATGGGAAAAGTCTGCTCTTTTAACAAGTGGCGGTAATCACGACAGCTGTTGCACAGGATTTTCTATTCCAATTTTGAAACCCCCCCTTTAAAAATCCCAGCTGTGACCCTGTATGTATCTGTGAACACACCTAAAATGAGAATAATATTGAGAATAGTTTATACATTTGTCAGTTATTTAAATTGAAGTTGTCTTTACCATATATTCCAATTTTCAAGCATTATCAATAATACAAAATTAAATAATTCTCGCAGAGAAGCGACAGCTCTGATTCAGCTTACGGTGGAAGCCAGGAAAGCACAAGTTCCGTTTCTGATGTATCAACTTCAAACATAAATGGTGAAATGCAACATTATTTGTTTTCAACTGCGATGCAAAGTGGGACTGCTTTTCAACATCTTCCATCCAACCATAGACAGGTACGTAATCAAGTCAATGCACTAGTTCGAGTAGCAATATGAATATTATATAGTGATTAGTGATATAATAGTAATTTCAAAAATGTTTTTTTCTCACTAATTTTGAGAACGGAAAAAGACGAATTTCACATAAAATTAATGTGACTGGTAAGCAAAGTTTCACCGGTAGCAGATAATTTGTGTCAATTCCTGGAAAATCTGCCTATGTTTAATATGAATTCTATTTTTGCTTACATCAAAATATGTCATTTCTGGTTCATGGTGCGGAAGTCCTACATTTCAGAAAACCTGTAACTGTTGCTACAAATATGCAGAATTTAGTGTGTACCAGATTAGGGTTAGGCCGTAATTTTATTCCGATTTTCCTCATTTTAATTCTATCATGAGTTTGGGGGATTGACTTGTTAGCCAAGTGAATATGCCCCCTACTCATAGGTAGGTAGGCGAACAAAATTAATTACCTTCCATATTGGTACACACACTTCTGGAGCGCCGAATATCAACTACACAGTGTCTAAAGAAATCTTCGCCCTTTGATTAAATTTGATTTCATTTCGTATTCATTCTACTTGTTTTATATCTTAGGATGGAATTTTAGGTGAACATCCTAGTCAAAAGATGCAAGCTAGTAAAGAATATTCAAAACATGTTGCTAATACTCTGCCTCTCTCTTCTCTTGCGACAAAGGCCAAATTAGTTCAAGAACATTCTATGATTTGCCGAAATCAAAGTAACAACCCCAACAAACAGGAAGGTTTGCAAAGTAACTTTTCACAATATACAAGACCACTTCCTCGACGTGCTGGCATTGGAGAACTTGGAAAAAGCGACAAAATGGTCATGAATGGTATCCCACGTCCAGAGTTTTTGTTTTCCAGCTTGTCCCCTAAAGATGAAGTTCTTAATCCGAGGCATAAAGGTTAGCTTTAACTTTCAAGTATTACCAATGTGTTGTGCTTTCAGGTAACAGTCGTGCGCATTAAAAATTTGCAAATACAACCTTTGTCGGTGTAACCTTATGCACTAATGTACTTTGTTTTCGGCGCTCCGGAAGTATTGTGTGCCAAATGACGCCTGAACCCTAACCTGGTACACATACTATGTTCAGGCCTGAACCCTAACCTGGTACACATACTATGTTCAGGTTGTGCGCCATCTTGTTACACGTACTTCGAGAGCACCTTGTTTTCTAGTTCTAAACTGGAAGAATTCAGATGAGAGAGATTTAAAAGCTGCAATTATAATTTTATAAATGCAAGTCCATGTTTGCAAAACTATTATTACTCAAAATAATTCCTTTTCCGTAAGACTGTTCTTGTAGTTGTCCGTTCCAACTTTGAAAAAAAAACTAATGAAAGTGTGTGTATTTGAGTTAACATTTCTATAAATGCTTTCAGTTCTATCATCGATGAATGGATCGAACCCTGCCTTCACTCAACATAGATCACGTCTTTCAACCACACCTGTGTATGATATGTCCTCACCATGTTTCAACAGGAAGACTAGTTTTTCGAGTCTTATCGCAGATCTACATGACATTGGTGCTGATTCACCGACTCAGTTGCAGCTACTTGGAAGCAGTTTGATGGAAGGTTTACTAGGTGATAGTCCACGATCTACAGCAGACTCGTTGACTGAATCTGGTAATGGAAGTTCTGGGGCAGGCAGATTGCTTCGTGCTTTAAATCTATTTTCTCCAACAGAATGCTTGGTATGTTTTTTTTTGATAGTTCAATCTATAATATATTACTTTTCAAAATTTAATTTATTATGAACGAGGAATTTTTTGCATTTCAACCATAGTAGTTTAAATTGTTACATTACACCTATTCAAATAGAGATGTAGCTGTGTTGGCAACATCGGCCATTTTGTTGATATTGTAATTGTGTTGACTAAAAATATTCAGACTGATATATTCAGCTCTTTGATCTCATCTAGAATGTTTTGATGTATTTGGATATTGGTAACTAAACTTATTTTTGCTGCAGAGGGACCAGGTATATGCGCATTTGCTGCCTCATTACATTCTTCACAGTTAGTTTAATGAGAGTAATTGTCCTAAATGAATGAACATATATGTATTTCACCGTTTATATTAGCCGGCCCACTATTAGTTTCCTAATCAAGCACGATGATTCATAGTGTCTCCGCTTAGCCGAATTTCTGCTGTAATTTAATTAATGGAAGTGCTTAGCATCTTTGCATACATACCAAGTTAATATGCAATTCATGATGCAATTTATTCAAGTATTCTATTAACTTTAAGACTATTAACAGCATTGATAAAATACAACTTTTCTAATTATTATTTGTATTCTCAGAACTCTCCTCACACCCCAAATATGGTCCGAAAGCGTGGTTGTGGAATGCTACCTTCACCAGAACCTAGTCCAGAAGCAGGAGCGTATGTTGGACAACACTCGCAAGGTCTTGGTGGTCATTATGCCAATCCTTTTCTCAGCAACCTAATTTTACACAAACGTAGGAGAAGTAATGAAACCTGAAAGTTTTGTAATTTTGTTAAATGTCATTCACAAATAACACTTCTGTTATCATTTGTTAGATTAGTGCAGTGTTGTTTACATGTGCACATTCACAAATTACAATTTTTTTTCATGCGTCTGAGCATACTTTTCAATCATTTTAGGTCTAGACCAAAAGTACTCAACCAATTACAATCATGCCTTATAAATTATATATTGCTTTTTTCTGTGACCAATGTCAAAATATTTTGTAAAATATTGGTATAATGCATTAATGATAACGCTCAAATTGTATTTCTAACACCAATTGTATGACAATTGTTGTCATGTTTTATAAATATGTGAATCTATGACTGCTTTAAAATAATATGTTGTACTGCTACTTTGTCCTTGTCAGAGAATGGTCTTTGTGATCGTGTTGTGTCGTTCTTATTGTGTAATCTGCTTTTATAGAATTGTTTTTGCTGGCTATTATAGTTCGTTTCGCTCGGTGGCTGCTCAATTTTTTTCTATAATTCGCTTATTCCTTTTAATATTTCTTCTGAAAATTTTTTCTTTCATAGTGTTCTAATTTTTCTGTCCTGATTATTGATGACTTGATTTACTTCTACACTTTATAGAAATTGATCTCTGTGTATATCTAGCCAAGCAGCATGATGAGATATGTAAATTACATTCGTACAGTTGAAACAGAATTTTTCCGGAGCTTTACTGGTAATGCTTGGCTAAATATAACCTGACAATCATATTTCAATCTAACTCATTTTTTCTGTTTTCACTTTTCTTTCGCTTTGTTCTTTATATTTTAAACTGAACTTCTTTCATCATTTCATGATTCAAATTGAACTTTTATACACTTTATTGTCCACTACATAATTGAATTTATGGATGATGCTTCGAGTGAAAGCCAGATTTGGATTTGACTGTTCGTTTTTTTAGTCAACTTGGTGGAAAATATCGATTTGTGGTGGTGTGAAAATGTCCCAACAGATCATGGTCTTTCACTCAATTTAGCTTAATCATGTGTGAAGGTTGAATGACCCTTCAAGTCCGTCAGAAAATGGTAACTGTCGGGTGTGATACATAAAATAATAGGTTCTCCCTGCCACAATTATTTGCTGACACTTTTTAACTTTTAGCAATATTAAATATGTATTGTTATTTTATCGTGCAGCAATTATAAATTTGATGAGATTTTTGAAGGTCATGACTGTGTATATGTAGATTTGGGCGAAGTAGTTTTGAATTAATTTAGGGTAAAAGACAGATGTCGTTCTATGTGAAATATTTTGGTACTTCGCGCAGTATATTGGCATTATTGAGTTGAGTGGGTGCAAAGCCGATTGATATTTTATGCTTATGCGCCAAATTCAAATGGAAGGCAACGATATTTTTCTTTAGTCGAGGTGTTAAGCTTGTTTTGTAATTCTCGGCATCTAAACGAACTTGAACTTGATTGGCTGACATATAGGAAAGAGATGACCCCTTTTTACATAATTAGTCCCTTAACTTCAATGTTTCATTGAAGGCGGTCATGATTGAGGGTCGTTAACCCAACAATATTATAGGTATTTTGATCCTAGCAGCCATGTTTTTGTGTTGTGACCAAGTCTTTCGCCAGTACCGGTAATAATTATTATGTCGTCAAAGCAGTTTGATAATAAAATGTTATGATTGCTTGATTTGGCGCAATAATACAAATATTGACGAACAGGTGTTCCAAAACATGATAATTTGTGAACCAATTGCATAAATGACGTGTCATTAGAATCAATGCTAACAGTTTAAGTACCTGAATCAATTGCACCGTAAATTGCTTTGAAACCTATTAGGTATGCAAAGTTGCGCCTCAAGGCTTTTATTAAACAAATTATTGTAGTTCCTGCATGCGTTTTATTGCGCACAGGCGCAAGGAATCGCGGTGTTTGATCTGCGTAATCTAAAAAATTGTAGTTGTAAATAGTATATTTGGTAATTTTATCACTTGTTTTACCGCATACATTTAATTCAGCATGTGTTTTTCCACCTATGTCTCATAAATTTCATCCATAGGTTAATTTATCCACATGCATTTCCTGTTTTTGCAAATAATTTCCAATTATTTTCCGTTCATGCAGGCGCATAAGAAATATTTTTATTTCTGTGAAGTAAATTGATATTTTGCGACTGGCTCAAATAAGTTGAGAACCACTAGCACAGTGTTTCCCAAACTTTTTTCTGACAGCGCCCCCTTGAACGACCTTTTAACTAGCAAACGCCCCCCTGACAAAAAAGTCAAATCAAATTTATGCTCCATTTATCATTAGTATAATATGAAGGTTGAGCCTAGTGAAATACCATCAGCTTGATAATAAATGGCTTCATTCCAGTCAAAAACAGTCTTGAGTCTCGTCTGACGCTGTCGAGGGAATCTCTCTTGATATTTAAAAGTGCGGTCACTGCACTAAATACACGCTTTACCAAGAATGAGCTGGCAAGAGCAATAAAAAAAACTTTTGACCCGATCTCACACGTGAGGATATTTCAATTTGATTCTGTTGCCAAAAAATGGAATACTGAAAGACTGAACATGGGTTTGAAAGTATAAAACTAATGGTAGTGGTGCATCTTCGCTTCTGGAAATTCAGGGTTATCTAGAACAGTGCTCCGCAACCTTTTTTAACTCGCGGCACACTTATAAAACTTGCCAAATTTGACGGCACACCACAACAAACGAAAAATACAAGGTGTAACTTTGTTTTATGTTCATATAACAATGAGAGATTTGTGGTTGTTTTAATGAGCACAATCGCTCTATATTAGGATCATTACGTGACGCGCAATCAATTTTGCAACACGATAACTATTTCGGAGACTGTAAAAGACGACTTCACGGAGCACTCTTGCTTCTTATTTTGACTTAACAACCGCTGGAAATAATTTCTATTCTTGCGTGCATGAACGGCAAGTTTCGTATTTAAGTGGCGCATAAGTTTACTCGGAAACATTGCTTCATTTAAAAGTTGCTCCCCCCCCCCCCAAATAACCCAGACTGGTTTTGGAGCATCTCCGTTACCACAGCAAGAAAATCCATATATGACATAATCTTCCCTGTATTTCCTTTTGACAAGTTTTTGTTTTTTTTCAACGTGGCTTGTGCTAGGTACAATATGTTGCTCAGTATCGGCTTTTCTTTTTAAAAAATTTATCCATTTTGCTAAACTTCAACGTTTCTTGACTTTAATCAAAGACCACTGGGCACTGATTCTGCAAACTCACACTTTATTTATATTCGATTACTACGCGTGCTATGTTTTAGCCTCGACAATAGGCTTTACAATATACATCAGTAGTTCTCAAACTTTTTTAGTCCCAGGGCCGCACACAAACAACGCAAGATAAAATAGCAACAAACCCTAAGCGCGTAATTAAAATACTAAGTCATCGTAACAACAACACACGTAACAACTAGGGCTGGGCAAAATTTTCCAATAATAAAATATTCGAATGGCATTTTACGATTCGAATATCCGGTACCACGTGACCTGCGCCGCTCTGCTTGGACACCGAACTCGAGCGTCTCCAACTCAATCGTGAATTGTGCGAGATTTCCCAACGGCGCTCGCTATCAGAAAAAAAAGAAAAATTTGAAAAGTCGTCTTTGCGTTATGGTGTTATATGCTCATTTTTGCACTTAACGTATCCTTTCAATTCATCATTTTGCAAAAAAAAACGTACCGACCGTTCCGTAAATTTAGAAACGTCAAACCAGATTAGGTACTTAAAATAAATTTCCCAGATTTAAACTCGGCATGCTTGGTGACATGTCTGTAATGAATGAGAAATATAGTACCTTGATATAAGGCTTTATTCAACTTAAATTTAAAGCACTCTTAGAATGAATCTAAAATAATATAACACAAGCAAATGTTATTAAACAAGAAAACAAATACGTATCGAATTGCTGATGCTAACAGTAAGCGGCTCAATAGTTAAATGAATAAAGTTGAAAGAATTAACACACTACATCTACAGCACAGCAATGATTGGTGTCTGATTTAAAACGCCACAGCAATCATCGCTTGACTGCAGCTGTATAAACAAATAGATACATTGAGTTGCATTTCCAAGTTATCACATTCACCGCCACCTTAGAGATTTAGTCTGTCTACGGTTCGGCGTTCCCTGGTTGATCTCCTTAGAACTGGAGGCGATGGAGATCTAGAGACAATATTATTTTCAACAATATCTTCTTGCGTTTGAGTTTTATTGTTTCCTTGATTGATAGATGGAGACATAGGTTGAATCGAGGACTCGTCTCTAACGTGCAATGGTGTTTCATGGTTGATATTGTCTGTCCCTTGCCTATTCATCGAAATTTCGTAACCGACAGGGGCCAGATGTTTTGAGGCTACAGTTGTTTCTCTGCCATCTGGAAATCGAACATGAGCATATTGTGGGATTTGCTTCCAGAAGCTCGACTTCATCTACTAAAGGTTCGGTTTTCGACTTCCTGACATATCTTTTCAAAAGCACTGGTCCCGGCGTTGACATCCAGGATGGAATAGAACATCCAGACGTAGATCTTCTGGAGAATTTGAAAACTCGCTCATGAGGAGTCTCATTGGTGGCTGTACACAATAACGACCGTATGGAATGCAAAACATCAGGCAAAACCTCTTGCCACAATTGAACAGGAAGACGTTTCGATTTCAGCGCCAACTTCACCCCATTCCATATCGTGCCATTAAAACGTTCAACCTGTCCATTTCCTGCAGGATTATATGGTGTGGTGCGACTTGTTGCAATACCTTTGTCATTGAGAAAAGAGCGAAGTTCTCGACTCATGAAAGCAGAACCTCTGTCTGAATGTATAAAAGCAGGCATTCCAAATGTAGTGAATAGTTGCGTGAGACATTTAATGACACTTGCTGTGGAAACATCTGGACATGGGAATGCAAACGGAAATCTCGAAAATTCATCGACTACGCACAGAAAGTATCGATTATTATTGTTTGACGGTAGAGGTCCTTTAAAGTCTATATTGAGACGTTCAAATGCCTGTGTAGCTTTGATAAGGTGCCCGGTGTCAGGTTTATGAAATCGCGGCTTGCATTCACAACAAACAGGACATGTTGAAATAACTTTTCGAATGTCATCCATCGAATATGGCAAATTCCTGACTCGAATAAAGTGAGACATTCTCGTAATTCCTGGGTGACACAGAGCGTCATGAAGTTTATACAAAAGATGATTTTCGGGATCTTGTACAGTTGCGCACGATATTCTTGAAAGTGCATCAGAGGGAATATTTTCTTGCCCAGGACGATAACGAATGTCAAAACTATAGCAGCAGAGTTCTAGTCGCCATCGCATGATTTTATCATTTTTAATCTTTGTTCTGTGATTTCGATTGAACATAAATGATACGGATCTCTGATCTGTTATAAGAGTGAAATGTTTACAAGTGAGATAGTGACGCCAATGACGAACAGCCTCAATGATGGCCTTTGCTTCCTTCTCTATTGAAGGGTGTTTGAGTTCTGGACCTTGTAGCATGCGAGAGAAAAAAGCCACTGGTCTCCCACCTTGGTTTAGGGTTGCAGCCAATGCTACATCAGAGGCATCTGTTTCTACTTCAAAAGGTAAAGTTTCATCCACAGCTATAACGACAGCAGATTCTACGAGTCGCTTCAATTCGTGAAACGCATGAATTGCCTGGTCGTCGAGAGGGAAAGTTTTCGCAGATGCTAGTGGTCTGATAGTATCAGAAAACTTTGGTATCCACTTTGAGTAGTACGAGAAAAACCCAAGACAACGCTTTAAAGCGGAAACTGAGGTAGGAATCGGCAAACGCCGCAAAGGTTCTAGTCTCCCAGGATCCGGACGTATTTGGCCTTCCTCAATCTCGTAACCTAGAATCTGAAGTTTTCTGGTCGAAAATATGCTTTTGTTTTCGTTCAATTTTAGATTTCGTCGTTTAGCGGCTTCTAGAAACTTCTGCAAGTTGATATCATGGTCTTGTTGAGTATGCCCACAAATGGTAATGTTATCGAGATACGCGAAAACACCGGTCAGGTTTTCTTCTTTACCAGGTTCATCATTGCCCTCTGGAAGCAGGCCACACCATTTGTGACTCCAAACGGGTAAACGAGTGAACTGGAACAGAGGCACCCGCAGCTTCGAAAGCAGTATATTTCTGGTCTTCCTTTTCAAGTGGAACCTGAT